CCGCGCAGATCTTTGCAGACTCCTTCCTCATGGACACATAACAACACTCAGTTTAAGCCCAAAACCAAATTAATTTTAACAGAAATAAACCACTTAAACTAATTTACAAACCGCGCACGCCTTCAAGTCAAAACCGACTGAACTCCTTTGCATGCGTAACACGCAAAACGAACAAAAAATTCTCTCCGATACATTATCAATCACGTATAAGCATCAGCGGATAAAAGAAAATGAAGTTTTATTGATTTTGTCTACTTAAACCGGAGGAGTGGACTGATTAATACAGCAAAACGGTCAGAAAAATTACTTTGGGTGAGGAGCCATCATTGTAACAAAAATTATTCGCGGTATGACATTACATACTGTAATTTTCGAGTAATTGCTATGTGTATATTCCTAATAAAAATACCTACAAAATTTGACAATAATCGGTCCGGTAGTTTCGGAGATTACGTGTCTAATAAAAATGGATAGACAGACGGACGGACGGAAACGGGAGATTAATTTTTCCTACTCGAGTAGATCTATGGGTCATGAAACGTGGATAAAACATAAAAGTGGCCATTCGTCCGATGGACTTTATTATTGTACTACTTACCTTAGGTTACACTTAGGAAGTAAAAAGGAATTGTTGGGTAGCTACGATGAGAAAAGATGTGGTAAATCTTGTAATACGAATTTTTGCAATAATCAATTGTACTAATAATAATAATAATAATAATTTATTCATGACAAGAATTACATAGTAATTTTTCATACGTCAAATATAAGTAGGAACACTAGCGAAAATTAAATTTTACAAATTCTTCTAATGAATAAAAAACATTCTCAATTAATAAGGTTTTTAAACAAAATCTAAAACTGGCGTAACTTTTGTCTTTAAGAGTTCGTGGAAGACTGTTAAACAGCTGATGACAAAAAAATCGTATACCATTTCTTGTACGTGAAAGCCTTAGAAATTCGGGTTGAAGTAAGCTTTTATGTCTGGTATCATATACATGATCAAGCCCTCTAAATTGATCGCTGTTTCTTTTTGCATACAGGAGACAGGAGAAAATGTATATAGAAGGTACAGTCATTATTCCTAGCCTTTTGTAAGCGTTGCGGCAATCGTCTCTATAATTCAATTTACTCATAATACGTACACACTTTCTCTGAATAGCAAATAATTTGTAGAGATGACAGGAATGACCCCAAACTAAGATTGCGTAGCAGATTTTACTGTGTATGTAGCCAAAATAAGCTGTTTTTATAGTGGATGTAGATACAATATGTTGCAAACGACGCATGACATACAATCTTTGGGAAACCGTCTTCGCTAATTGAGTGATATGAACCTCCCACGTCATCTTGCTGTCGAGTAAAACTCCTAGTAGTTGGACTGGTTCATTATTATTTATAATTTCTAAATCTCTAAGACCAAAGTAAATTTGCTTAGTTTTTTCATTATTAAGACATAGTCGATTAGAGATAAACCAAGCATTCACGCTCAACTCCACTATACTAATGTTACTCTGAAGTGTTTTTAGATTAGGGGAAGTAGCTATGAGTGTTGTATCGTCTGCATACAATATAAAGTTAGTATCATGAGCGCAGTCAGGTAAATCGTTGATGAAAATTAAAAATAAAATCGGTCCTAACACCGACCCTTGCGGTACACCTTGCTGCACAGTTAGACATGACGAATTTACATTATTAAAATGAACAAATTGTTTACGTTCATGCAAGTACGATTCTAACAATTTAATACATGAGTTGTCTAAATTATAATAGGCTAATTTTTTTAGAAGTAAGCTATGTGAAACACAATCAAATGCTTTTGTTAAGTCTAGACATAAAGCGTGTGCATACTCTTTGTTCTCAAAGGCATTTAAGACTATATCACTTAATCTGTTTATAGCTAGAGTTGTTGACGAATTGCGACGAAAACCAAACTGATCTTTATTGAATAAGTTATTGTGTTCAAAATGATTACAAATTTGAGTTTTTAAAATAATCTCCAATACTTTGCCTAGAATGGGAATTAAAGAAATTGGCCTGAAATTCGATGGATCATTCAACGATCCCTTCTTATGGATTGGTATAACTTTTGATAACTTTAAAACATCAGGGAATATACCTTTATTAATACAGATATTGATAAGTTTGGTAAAGGGAGAAACGATAACATTAATTAAGGTTTTTATTATTTTAACGTTGACACCATAAGCATCATAACTACCACTATTTTTTAAAGTATTGATAGCATCTCTCACACTATTAAATGTCACTTCTTGAAAGATAAATTTAGGAATATTATTATTTGAAAGAAAATTGTAAGATATCTTATTAGCTTGTGGTAATTTATTAATGATATCATCTGCTATACTCACGAAATATGTGTTAAATTCCGTTGATGTTATTTCAGAGTTCGATAATTTATTATGTTGCTTATTAGGATTAATAATATTCCACATTGCTTTTTGTTTATTAATAGAGTTTGCAATGTATGTATCGTGTGATGCTTTTTTTGCTTTTTGTAATTCACTACGGTATTTCTTTCTGAAAATAGCAACTTCTTTTTTAGTTATTAAACTCTTCTTGTTAAGTTCACATAAAAATTTGAGTGTATCTCTCATATGACGTAAACTGTTGTTAAACCAATTTATTCCATATTTCAGGGTATTATTCCTCCGGACAGTTTTAGTTGGAAAACATGTATTTATAGCTCTAAGAATAGTGTCATTAAAGAAATCAAACTTATTATTTACATCCATGTCATGATCATTTATAAAACTCCAATTTTCTAGTTCAATTATATTGTAAAGTTGCATCAGCCCTATATTAGTAATTGGTCTGTATGAAGTTAATTGTGTACTACTTGTTTTGTTATTGCTTAACCAAAAACTGATACACACACCACTATGGTCAGAAATATTAGGATCATGTACAATTGCTTCATATTCAGATGTCGGTAGGTTGGTAAAAGCATTATCTAAGCAAGCATCATTTCTCGTTGGATCGAAAACGGTTTGCTTTAAATTGAATGACAACATCATATTCACAACCATTTGTGTCTGGTAATTACGACTCTTAAGAAAATGCACATTAAAATCCCCTACTATAATGATGAAATTATTCTTTAAAATTTGTTCCAACAATAAGTTTATAGTTGTTCGATAAAAGTATTAAAATCACCATCTGGTGACCTATACAGACTTATTATGAGTACATTGTCGATTTGTATGCCAGCAAATTCACAATGTTTTTCTTGAGAGTATCTATTCAAATTTATACTTTTTATCCAGTCTAAAAATGAATTTATTACATAAATGCTTACTCCACCATGTGTGGAGACAGTTCTACTAAAGAATGAAATCAGCCTATAACCTTCCAAACACGTCTGATTACAATCGGAATTACTGAGCCAGTGTTCATTGAAACATAAAATCTCAAGAGGTTGTGAACATTTTAAAAATGACTCAAGTTCTATGAGTTTATTATTAATGCTTTGGGTATTAAGATGATATACATTAATTAGATAATTACGAGAAGAAATTTTGTTGGAGTTTAATTGTTGTTGTTTGACCGTTGATTCACTAAAAAAGACTTAACATTGAATTCTCTTAAACAAACAGATTCAGGCCATACATCAGCGTTGTAAATTTTGTCATAAAGTTCTGTTGGAACACCGATACTAAAAGCAGAGTTTTTTCCCTTCGTTTGGAGCTTCTTAATCTCTATGTTTTTAATTTCGGCAAATTCACTTATGTGATCGGCAATGTCTTGGACGGATGCAGTGTTTCCGGAGATATGTCCTACATAAATCCATTTGCGTCGAATAGCGCCCTGAATGTTCGAGGACGACGACAATTTTCCAGTACCATATAAGGATTTACCCCTGGATATCCCACCTTTGCGAGTATTGTTGCTATTACTGGATCTACTTTCTACCGTTTTCCATTTTAAATTTTCTTCAGAAACATCGATTTTTGTTTGTCTGTCTTCAAATGTGCTATTTTTATTTACAATGATATTATTCTCTGGTACCACAGCTGAACTGTAGATTGCAGTAAAATTTCCGGGTGTTGTCACCGGGGCTGTACTCTTATCACGGTTTTCATTGTAAGGATTATGAATTCCTTTGCGTTCCCATGGTTTGAAATTTGACAATTCCATTTCTTTCTTTTCATCGCCTTTAAAAAACGAAGTGAATGTCGGCTTTTTTACTTCCATTGAAGAAGTTGGCGGGATATTAGCCGGTTTTTCTTTATCAATTAACTTAGTTTTTATATCAGCGACTTCTCTATTAAGTGATGAAATTTCCTCATTTTGCTTGGTAATGACCGCATTTTGTTTTACAATTTGATCTTGGCAGGATAACAAGGCAGACTTAATGGACATCAGTAATGAACTTACGTTTGTTCCGACGATACGACACTGGTCGCAGAACCATAACAGCTTCGTACCATCGAGAAGGATCTTTTGTTCGGATTTTTTTAAACCCGTACATTTGATGTGATATATTATATTACATATACCAGTGCACTCAACTGTGTCTTCGTTTTCTTTAAATTCGAGATTGCAAACGGAGCACTTAGGTTCATCGACGCTCATCGTTGCCACGTTATATATTCTTATATAAATAACGTACTAAATAACGTATGAGCTCAGAATTGGACGTGAAGTCAGTTCTTATGATGTACCTACGTAGTTACAGTTTGTTCCTTTTTTTTTATAGACATTTTTTGGGAAAAGTTTGCGTGGGAAATAAAAAATAAGTTTATTGATTAACATCTGAAAAATAGATTTAATGGCCTGCAAACAGCTTATACAGTTTGTGTTTCTGTTCTAATGGTTAATCCAAAACTGAAGCAAACAATGAAAAACACGAGAAAAAACCTACAACAAATTTTTCATAACTGTTTGCTTGGGTAACTATCAGTACATCTGGATTTTGGAAATCACGTACTTAAGTGTTAATTAAAGTCAAATGTTACAAAGCAACTATCAGCTAAAACTATTTTCAAAAAATGGAGTTTTATTTGATTTGTTTATTAGATAACAATTTTCAAGATAAATTGCAACAACTTTATCAACGTGCCTTGAAGTCACCTGCAGCTAATCTTTTCAAATATATTTGCCGGCATTCCATATCATCAGCAGGACGAGAATATGGTTGCCAAACTGGTTCGCCAATGAAAAACCTTTTGGCTTTAATATAATTCTGCAAGTGCAATGTTTTAATTTACCAATGCATAACAATACTTCATTGTCGCACCTTGGCATCCAAAGTAAACCGATGATAAATTCCACTTGGTATAATAATCATATCACCTGCTACAACCTCAATTCTCACCCATTCATCATTTTTGTCTCTAACATCAAAATATCCTGACCCATCTAATATAAAACGAATCTCCTCATCTGTGTGCAGATGTTCCTGGAAGAATTTTTTCAGCATCTGGTCGTAGTTGGGTAAACATTCTTTAGAACAAGTCATCTCATCCTCATAGGTATATCCTCGGTCCGTTTTTAATTTATCCAGAACACCATCGGAATTATAAGAATTTACATTTAACTGCAATTTTCTTATAGCGTCATCGGTCATATATTAAGTCATCGTTACCTTAAAATATTCCACTCCAGACACATCAAAAAGCTCTTCAAGTGTTAAAAACTTCGGAGGATTTCTATGGTGCTCAGTTCTCTGATCAGTAGAATCATTGTCCATGTACCACGCACGAACCATTTTTATTAAATGGTGTAAATTAGCGATTGTTATAAAAAGATTGTTGTATATGTCTTGGGGTTATAAGAGAGGGGGCATAAGGTCATTCTGATACTGATATTTACTTTTATGATTTTTATAACCTCACCTCGTGCACAAGACCCAAACATGTCCACATGACATTTTAACAATATTGGTTGCCTATCCTCATCAAAGGAAAACTACTTTAACATTAAAATGATTTATTTGTTTGTGTTTAATATTTTACATACATATTTACATTGTCTAACTTTCAATTTCAAAATTTCCATTTTCTAATTTTTGAAGATATTCTTGACGACAATCCATGTTGTCCGCAGGGCGTTTAAAAGCTTTGTATTGAGGATCCTTTATAAACAGGCGTTTTGCTTTGAAGGAATTCTAAAAAAATGCCCCTTAGAACTAACAAAGTAACAATTATATCATTACCGTATGATCCAACATAAATCGATGATAGCAACCCCCCGGCACTATAATTAAGTCACCACTTACAACTTCAACTCTTATCCATTCGTCATTATTATCTCTTATGTCATAATATCCGCACCCTTCCAATACGAATCTTATCTCTTCAGTTTCATGAAGATGTTCTGTGTAGAAGTCTTGTAGGTCACCCTCCCCTGGAGTTTCCTGCACATCTTCATACTCATAACCCCTTTCTTCTTTAATTTTTTCCAAAGACCCGTCGCCTTCGTACGTGTCGACGTTTAGCTACATAACACTATGTAACAAACAGTATTAAGATTTGCAAATAAGAATACAATACCGCGTGATGTTCCACGCCAGATACTTTGTATAAATCTTCTAAGGTGATGAATTTCGGAGGTAGTCTCTGATGTTCGTCCCTTGGATTATCCAATCCATCGCCTTCCATATACCATGCACGTACCATCGTGGCTTGTCGACAAAAAACTGAGTAAAAAAATGGACGCACGCTTGTTTTATTGGTGATAAATATATCGCGTTGCTCAAGTATGTTTATTCGCTCAAATGATTTGTTTGCTTTACGCTGTATTAATGAAGGTAATGGGGTATTATTAAGCAAAAACCGTGAAAATGAGAATGTCCTTGGTGATGAAATTCGTAAATAAAATTCATGTGAATGATTCGATTTTCGTTATATTTATGTATAATGCAATGTACATAAATTAACACTATTATTAGATCAAATACGAATAATGACAATCATTCCCGGAGCGTAAGCACAACTCCGTATAGTTAATAACAATATAATAAGCACAATAGTTATATTTAGATTTAAAATAAATAACAAGTAAAAATATATTACAAATGTTGTATAAAAGATACTAAATGTAATAAAAACTTAAAAATATATATCGTCTGTATAATATATACAGAGTAGTACAACTAATGACTGCATTGTTTATACGGGTACCTATTGGAATAACGGAAATAACTGTCACTCAGAATCGGATTCGCTAATCAAGATGTGAAATAGCTGAGTACAAGTCGGATACAAACCATCCACATCCAGAAGCTTTACGAGGACACCGGTAGTTTTTGTACTAGCTAATCAGCAAATTAACAGTGTCTACAAGCTCAACAGATGGCAGCACCGAGTGCAGGCACGCATGGGATAATACTGACTGTCGCTGCCACATTCAACAATATACTCGCTGGTAATCCAACAGATAAACAACAACTTCAATGTACAATTAATAATACTATAAGTTATTTACGATACAGGTTAGTTCATTAAAGCTCTTATGTCATCTCATACACAAGTCAGATTTTTTCATTTACTTAGGTTTTTCTTTGTACAAATGATCTCTGCAGCGAATATCGACGAGAAGGGAGGTAGCACGGGCTGCGAATGACTGCGAGCAGCGGAACACTACATGGTCATCATTTAACGAAGTTCGGGGCCATATCAGGACCGGACTAGATCATCTGCTCGTCGATCTGTCGCCACGCGGATGAGATTGTTGAATTCTACTTCTAAGGTCTGCCTTGCCTGAAAATACAAAATATAATTAACATATAAATAAAAGTAGTCACGTTACTTATATGACTGACTAAGAACTTATCATTAAGATATAAATATAGATGACTGAGTGTTCTTGTCCGTCGATTTGTAATTCTGTTTTAAACGATACTTACTTGTGTATTTTGGGTTGGAATTTGCAACGTGAGAGCCATACTGTTCGCATCAAAACTCTCATCCAATGCAATTAAAGCACCATGGACTCCTGATTCTAATAGATTATTACCATATTCCTATAAATCGAGAAACAGTAGGTCAAAAAAAACGTCTGTGTTAGCAAATCTCACCTTTAACCCGATACTAGATACCCATCTAATTATTCGTTCATTGCTCCAGACTAAAACGTCTTGTAAAGTATTTTCAGAATTTTTCCTTCTGTCTTCTAATAAATTTCGATCATAATTTAATCTCTTTAAACATGATATGCCAAACTGGAGACTAGTTCTGCAAAAAAAAAGAAAAACAGTATAACAAAATGAACATGAAAAAGTACAGTAAATAAAATTCGACAAGAAAAATAATGAAACGATGGTAATATTATATTACTTCAAGTTACAACAGCTTTCGACCGTCTTGTCAAGTTTCAAACACCCAAATTAGTATAAAGTCGAAAGTTATTTTATAAAATAAAATAACTATTTTCTTCCCTATAACCATTGTTATAACTATAGGAAAAACATTTTTTAAAACTTAACAACAAAATTTTCAAAATAACAAACTACCTTATTCACATGTTGGTCTGAGTTGTTAAAAAAAATAAACAGAAATAATTTACAGCTGGAAATTCACGGGAGTTATGTAAATATACAATTTTAAACGATTACAAATAAAAACGTCTATTATTAATTCGTATTTAAGTTTCATAAACTTTAAAATGTGAATTATAACGAGTTGCTCAATATTATGCGTAGGTGAAGTCGGCAGAGCTAAGGAAAATATATCATAAAAAACAAGGTTGTTTTACACAGACTATTCCTGAATTGCTTTATGGTAGGTATTTGAATTTTTATTACATTTTTTTTTTAATTTTATGAGAATTAAGACGACTTTTACATCTCCATTTTATCAGTTATATTAGAATCGTCGCTCGATGCAGTCATAAAAGTGCGTGATCAACGCGTGACCAACGAACCTAAAGGTATAATTGGTTAGAAATCACGTGTCTTGAATCCGGTTTTCCAGTATACTCTAAAATATCGACGACTGATTCTTGTTGTCAATTTGTTGTGGTTATACAGTTTAAGACTTTTGAATATCTGAATAATCAACACTATCATGATGTTATTTTAATCAGTATAAATAAATGGGTCATTTTTGAAATAATACAAAAATTAGATTGACACAGAATTATACCGAAAATTACGACGAAACTTACTACAAAAATTAATGTTAAAAATGTTTCACGAAAAATGTTCTATATTGTGATGGCAAAGTGCGAGAGATATTGTTTTGAACGTCTGCGGAATTTCTCGCGCACTTTACCATCAAAATATAGATAATTTTTCTTGCAAGATTACTAACATTAATTTTGACTTTTTTAAAAGCTAGACCCGTATTACCAAAATGTAACACATTGATCTAATAAAGGAGTGGATGGAGCCTTGTATACGTTTCCATACGCGAGCGAGTGTAATCAACATAAGAAAGAAATAGCTATAGCGGTTATGCATCAGTAGGGAAAGGACGGCTGACCACGTATCACGTGCTGGGGGGCAAGAAACGCTTCATTTGAACGGGAATTAATACGTTTTCTTACGAATTTGTTCAAACAATCAATTATAACAAACGTCTGTTAATGAAAACTATATTTTTACAGCTTACATTGAAATTATGTGTAATGTGAAACAACAAAAATCATGTTAAGTGGTGGAGATAGTTTTTTAATAAAATGAAATGTATAGAAAATCTACAATATATTACGAATTCAGTTAATACAATAATCTTCTACAAGTTAACTAATCTTGTAATGTATGTTCATCGGTAATTCTGAAATTTTTAGAATAAAAATAATTAAACTTTCGATAAAAGTGACAGGGTGCCTAATTAAATTAAACATATTAAATTGTGTGGAATTTTCTACTAAAATCTATTTTCTAAATCCACGTACAAATAACTAAAACAATAATCAATAAATATAAAATTCCCTCTTTTTGTAGCAATAATCCGTTTTTTTCGTAACTCGGAATGTTTAGGGAATCTAACAATTTTTTTAAATTATTTACGAAATCGTTCGTCTGTGTATGTGATTATTACGTATGAAATGAAACAGGATTGCTTTATTTGCACGTTCTATTCAATTATACGCACAACACGATTTCACGATGTTTAACAAATAGTCCAATAAAATACAATTTAAGAAGACTGTAGACATTTAAATAAGGTAACTTGGGCCTAAAAAACGTAAATTTGCAAAAATACACCTTCAAACACCATGCGACAGCACGAATGAAACCTCCAGAAACACAGTGCTCTGCAGTTTCGCGTCAATGTTTTGCCACCCAGAGAGCCCTATCTCTGTCCCACTGTGTTGACAACGCGCGTCTCTCTCTAAGTTACTTCCATATAATATTATTTCTATGATGTAACACTTGTGACATTCCCGGCAAAGGCCATAAACAGTAACTAAAGAGAGATTTGTGTTTTAATAGAGATGGCGAATACAGTAGAAAGATACCATGGCCAACTAAGATACAAACCAGGTAAGGTGTAACAGTGGCGTATCGACAGTGGCACAGTGGTCACAATAAAAACAAACGACAAAAAGTACTTAGCGAAAATTAATGTAAATAAAAGTCGAAGGAAATATACTACATATTAACGGTTGAAGCTGCGATAACAAAACGCCACACCTGAATCAACTAGGGACGCCACTGATGTTCCTCAGCCTAGTGATCAATGATAATAAAAGTGATCTTCCATTTCCGTCTGTCTGACTGTCTGGCGTCTGTGTCGGTTTTTATTACTTACGTAATCGCCGAAACTACTGGACCAACTGTTGTCAATAGACACTCAAGGTTTTTGGAAAAAAAGGAAACTTTTACATTTTGCAATTTAACTTTGAAACTACAAAATCGAATACAGTGAAATCTTACAAACACTTTAATGTCATCGCAATCGTGGTAAATCGTTAATCAAAATTTATTCCTTTATCCCCTCCCAAAAAATTGGTGACGTCATCTCAAAATTTTGATTAATATTATGAATCTATACTTGTGGTTTATCAATGTACTCATAGTTTTCAGAATTACTTATACGGGGTGACTAAAAAAAAAAGAGTGAGGAAATTAATTTTATTAATTAAATGAAAAAAGGACTCACTCCATTTTCCCGAAAATTTGGGAATACTGTATTGTTATTATTAGTATTACGTTGCATTTATCCAAACTGATGACATCATCACAAAATTTTGTAATGGAAAAATTCATGTGAATCAAACGCGTACAGCTTCTTTAGCTTTACTTTAACATTACATATCTTTATTTTGATTTATAAGGGTTATCACAAAAAATAATATTTACAAAATCATATCTTACAATTTTTCGATAAAGTTGGATTTATTCTACTGTACGTCAAGAGCGAGGGAAGTTCTGTCGAAATAAACTTCAACTAATTTTTTAGAATCATTAATGCTGTGATCTGCATTGCTAAATAAAAGTAACAGCTTACCAAAAATTTTATTTCGACATTTATAAAATCGTAACCAAAAAGGTGTTTATAAAACTTAAATAATAGAGGTGCACTTCAGTTGCTTACATAAATTGTAAAATTTATTATTACTATAACCCCTAGGAGTGGATTATTAAACCACACGTAAAAAAGCATGTTCCAAGTGAAAATTAAAAAAAAGTTTTGAAGTTATATCAAATTTTTAGTCACATCACAATTTTAATACGTACAGTGTGGCTAATAATTCCCCAATTTTGGGAAAATTAAATAAGCGTTTTTGACGATGAAATCAATAAAATAAACTGCTTCGTTCATCATTTTTTAGGCATCCTATAGAAACATTTTAAAAAACTGATCGAAAATTATTTAGGCAGAAGTTTCCTCCCTCCTGAAGTACAATAAAATATTCAACTTTTTCGAAAAATTATAAAATTTGATTTTGCGTATTTAATTTTTTTATGAAAACTTCTATAAATTAAAATAAAGATATGTATGTATTGTCCAAGTAAATGTAAAGAAGCGTGCTACGCGTATGTAATGAGTTTTTCTTTAAAAAATTTTGTGATGACGTCATCAACATTTCTGCAAGGACACGTAATCAATTTGGATAGGTGCAGTGTAATACTAATAATAACAGTATTGTATTCCCAAATTTCCGGGAAAATGAAGCGAGCCGTTCCTGATTTAATCAAAAAAATAAACTGATTCATTCATATAAAAAAATATGTAGGCAATGATATATCACAAAGTCTATAGACTCCTCATATTTTGCACATTTTAGATAGGATTTATTTGGTAAAATTTTGAGATGACGTCACATCATTTACCATGTTTCCAATAACCCTAATTTTAAAACGTTTGCAAGGTTTCAGAGTATTCAGTTTTGCACTTTCAAAGTTAAATTGTAAAATGTTGTCATACAATATTTTCTTTTACAAAAAGCTAGATACCTAGGGTAAAAACTCAACATGGATTTATAAACTACTACGTGAAGCGGTATGTTATTTTATAAAATTTAAATAACATTTACTATTGTAAAAGAAAAAATTTAGATTATCGTTTTACCATCTTCACAATATTCCTAAATAAATATACAAAATAAGACAACAATCGGTCCGGTAGTTTAAAATATTATTTGTCTAATAAAAATATACACAGTCGCGGACAGACGGTAGGCGAAAGACCTATGTTTTCGTATTCTAGGGGTCATGAAACGTCGAGAAAACATAAAAGTAGTCAGTCGACCGATGGACTCGATTACAAATGGTACTTCCTTAGCTTTCGCTCGAGAAGTAAAAACAAAAATATATCCGCAAAATAGTAGATTCAATTTTTACGAGATAGAAAACTCAATCTTCTTCAATAGTAGAATACACTATGTTTTTGCATACTTGATGGAATAGCTTTAGAGAAAGTAAATTTGTATCAAAAATTATAAAAATCATGAAGGTGCAAAACGTAGAAACGATTTACAAAACTGCCAAACTGATAACTTACGTTCACGTTCTATTTCTAATGAGATTTTTACTTAACTTGAACAAATATCAATAATAATTTTGAGAAAAAACTACTAACTACCAATTTTGCCAAAATACTTAGGGTAAAAAATTAAAAATTGTTATGGAGGGAAAATGTAACTAAATAAATTATAATTTCTTAAGTGATTAGACACACATTAATATTTCATGCTAACATTCTTTTTGGAAAAGGTAGGAATATATAAATTTGAAAATAGATTACAGCATGTAGAATAAGCAATAAGTAACCAGACTAAAACAAAATTGGTCGAAAGTTGTTTCGACAAAAATTCCTTCCCCCCTGAAATACAATGATAATTTTTTTTAATCACCCTGTATACGCAAATCCAAAACATATGAATGGAATGATAAATCATAAGTACATTTTGTACATTTTAGATAGGATTTATTCAGCAAAATTTTGTGGTGACGTCAATTTTTTAGGGGGGGATGAGCAAATACATTTTGATAAAAAATTTTCTATTCTTATGATCACTTGAAAACATCTCCAAGATTTGTAAGCATTCTGTTAAATGAACAAAATAAATACACAAATTCATTAATTTTTTTGAGTCACCCTGTATATGCAAATCCAAAAACTTTGAACGAAATGATTAATTACAAGTACAGACTCATCATATCTTCTATATGTTAGATAGGATTTTTTCGGCAAAATTTTAAGCTGACGTCATCAATTTTTTGGAAATGATAAGCAAAAATATTTTGATGAAAAATTTATCATGCCCATCAAAACCTTAAAATATCTGCAAGATTTCAACGTATTCGGTTTAGCAGATTCAAAATGTTGATTTTGATTTCTTTTTTCCAAAAATTTGAACGTTTCGGGTAAGAACTCAATGCGGAATTATAAAGTACATGTGTAGCACTATGTTTATTTTATACAATTTGAAACCCATTTACTGTGTACAATTTTGAAGTGACGTCATCACATTATTGGTGGGGATGATTAGACAAATTTTGGTTAGCGTTTTACCATCTCCATGATATTCTTAATATAAATACAAAATTTGACAATAATCGGCCCAGTACTTTCGGAGATTCTAATAAAAATCCTGGACGGCAGACGGACAGATAGACGGAAACGGGATACCTATTTCTGCGTACTGTATGGATCATGGAAGGTCGAGAAAACGTAAAAGTAGAGACGGACTCGATTACAATACTTCCTTTGCTTACGCTTTTGGGAAGTAAAAAAGAAAAATTTCAAGATATCAACAACTAATTGCATTTCTAATGTAACACAATGTACACAACTTTGACCGAAGAATCGAAAAAAAATAAAGTGTCAAATAAAGTTTTCAGTGACCCAACTCCTGATTCAACAAAAGTTTCCGAGTATCAGCATCCTCTTCAACCTTCGTCAACTTTGAGCATCAACACATTTGCGAACCACTTTGTTTTTATGACTGCTTCACATGGATTAAATTTTCATAATTTAGCAAACTGTGTTCTTATATTTTAAATATTTACCAAAATAAATTGAGATTTTGAACGAATATTTGTGGTTGTCAAAATTGTCGTTTGACTGAGTTTGTGTACTAACTACTGTGGTGCTAACGATTGTAGTAAAAATCGTACTTTATTGTGTTCTACATGGTAAAAGGAATGTTTTACATCAAGTATACCAAAAATAAATTTTAATTGGTTCTCTCTGGAACTTACCAAATCTTGTCAAAATTTCAAAAGTTCCTTAAATTCTAAGAGAATTGACAAACTTTCGTTTTATAGTAAGTTAATTATTATTATATTGTATTATACATCTGGTAATGATTACATGTACGTTTACACTTTTTCTTGTCGAAATTAAGTTATTTACATTTTCTGAGTAAAAATATTCGTACACCTGCTGAATATTTTTACTGACACAGGAGATGAATGACAAGAAGAAATATATCAATGTACGTATTTTTGAAAAACGTCTTACGCCTCTTACCTGTGAAAACTATCCACCATCTTAAGCTGCCCCCTCAAATCCTTCTTCGTCAGATGATCCAACATCCTCGCATCAACCAAACACTCCATAAACGTGGTTCGATATTGCGGAAGCCCGAGCGCAGGCAGCCACGAGTTCCCAATCCACTCGTGGTTCATGTCGCCGAAGGCCAACGTCGTCCGTGAGGTCTTCGGCGCCGACGGCGACGTCAGTGACACCATCTCTTGGATGGCCAGTCTTAATTTTAACCGATGCAACGGGTTGCTTATGCCTATCTCCCTCTGGATCTCCGTGTCGCTGAGGGCGCTCATGATCGCCCCCGACTTGACGTTGGCGCGGCACGCCGCCACGTACCACGCTGGCATGCCCACCCACAACTCGAGCCAGGCAACAATCGTAGGGCCGTTCCATAAGGCGAATGGGGTGCCGGCCTTCATGGCCTCGGCAAGGAGTTCATGTCTGTAATCACGCTCCCTTACAGAGAAGGTTGCTCTAATTAATACACACACCTCTAGAGATCTTTCGGAAAGAAGTCTAACATGCACGATATTCCATGGACAGAATATTTTATATTGCAGTTTCTCGGTTTAATAGACCTTTCAGGAGGTGGTGTTCGGTTTTTGATATTGTGTTTAAAATGAGTTGCGTTAAGCAGTGACCGATTTTTGTTCAGCTGACAAGTAAGCGGAAAGCTTGATTGATAATGTAGCTGTCAGCTTTGTGGAGTGCTTATTTGATACTGCAATATAGCATATTAGGCACGTGGAAGACAAGGATGATGGTGAGACTGTTAGTAACATGCAAACTTTGTATTTTTTATTTTCATTACTATTGGCCAAGTTAGTTGGTAAACAGTTCATTTATTTTCTTAAAATTAATAGTAGATCCCATTATGTAAGTCATATTTAATTTTAACAACCTGTTCTTGGACGAAAGAATAAAAGGAAAGAGCATTTAGTTACGTTTACTATGCAGACGTTTTAAACTGAGACCTTTACTGACCTTTTTCGATAAGCGTTTTTATTTACAATTGTACAAAATAGTTGATCCAAAGGAGACCACAGGACATTTATTTACGCGTAAACTTAAATAAATAGAAAACTGTTAACAGTGAATTGTAATTTTATTTTTGCGTTATTTAAGAGCTAAAAAAAGATGAAAAAGGGTAAGAGTGACTTCGAAAACCTTTTTTGAATTCTCTACAACTGTTCCTTTGCGCCGTTGCAATAAAATTCTCACGTGAGAAAATACTGGAATTTTTCACATTTACGTGTATTGGTATCAGCAACGAATCATCACCCAATAAATATTTGACGGTTAATTTTCTTATTTCATAATAATTATTCTTGTATTATAATTTGTAAAAGATGCTAAGTGAATTAAATAAGAACAAAAATTTACAAAGATAACATCAAAAAATTCAACAGATAAATAAACAGAGAAAGATAAAACCAAGACACGTGGGAAGAAATTTCAAGAATATAACTGGATGAAGTAATTTATAAAATGAAACTGGAAAATCACATGGAACAAACGAAATTACTATGACAACTATTAAACATTAAATAAATTTAAGAAAAATAACTTATATTTTTTAATATAAATAATAAAAAGAGAAGACTAAAACAAAGTTATAGAGACAACTATAAGAAATACAACGGGGGTTTCGGAAAAACCGGGGAATTCAAGATCAAATATTCTTATGTACAGAAATTAGTAAACAGAATCAGTTGTATTCGATACTTTTATAACGATAAATGATACCACAAACTACGTCAGATTACGAAATATCAGAAAGTTTATATATAGCATGGGCTTGACAAAAAGTTTTCTCGTGGTTAATCTGGTACTAGACGAAGCGATGAAGAAAACGAAAAACAAAGTAAAAGTCTAGTATTGGAAAATGAAATTGACAAAAATCACAAAATCTTGATATCCTGATAATTTTGCATTGATTGCCGAAAAAGGAAGAGGTTTACAACATAGCATAAATATTCTCGATGAAGAAATCAAAAAGATAAGAGTAAACAGGGGAAGTTATTTAATAGGAGTCGCTACGTTTTTCTCTTATGGGGTTGTCAATACATCTTCAGAATGTAATATCTTCACTATTAACATTCTTATTGTTATGAAATATTTAATGTACCTAACTTTCATTATATAATGCGAGGGCAGTTTTTTTAAACTGTTTGTTATCATATATGTTTTAAATTTTGTTGAAATTTTTGCATTACGTATTTTTAAAAAATCAATATTTTAATTATTTACGGAAATTTTGGAACGCAGTTTGTACCACTATTTAAACCTTACAAAACTTTATAAATCGTACGAGATAAATATATATTTTCGACTGTATTTGTTGGAACGGAGAAAAAGTAAAAAGAAGCGTCTACCAGCTTCTACGACGAAAGTTTTTTTAACTGGATGTCGTTTCTAACAAAAAAAGTCGACGATATTTCTGGTACGATTTCTGAAGTTTTGTAATCTGAATACATTGTTGAAAACTGCATTCCGAAATTTCCTTAAATAATTCAGATATTGATTTTTAAAGATACGTTATGCAAAACTTTCACAATAATTAAAATAAAAGGATGATCACAAACCGTTTCAAACAAAACTGCCCTTGCGTTGTGTAAAGAAATTTGTAGACAGGTTATATTTAAAATTTCAAAACCATAAATCTGTTAATAATGGGGATATTATATTCTGAAAATGTAACGAAAATTCCATGCACAAGAACGTAACGACTGGCTTTAATTGTATAGAACCACAGCGAAAGAAATTCCAAGACGTGAAACAAAAAAATGATTAAAAGAATAGTAAAATCAACCTTTCCATTTGGAAATGAAATATGGATACAGAAAGATAAAGATCAAAATTAAACAGTATGGAAATTGCGCTTTTTAAGAAAAATAAAATCAAAGGAAAAACTAGAAGTGACTACAATCCAATAAAGTCAACTAGGTTGATTGGGTCACATCCAACGAATGAAAGGTAGTAGGCTGATAAAACATACATAAGAAACTGAGGAAACGAAGAACGGGGAGGACGCGAAAACTTGGAGAAGAGAAGTATGAAAAGTTGCCAAAATAAGAGGAATTAATTGGATAGCTAAACCGAGGGTTGCGTAGGAAAAGAATGAATGGAAGAAAATATGGTGAAGAACATAATTAATTAACATAATACGTTATGTTTCAAAGTACCATGTTCTAGAAAATACAACTACCATAAAAATATGGATACATAATTACATCCTGTTCAATATATTATACACCGCCTGACCTCCTGTGTCTATCGTAGCAAATCCATAATAAAACCTCTCAATTTTGTTCTTACTGTCATCGCATGATATCGGATTTAATTGCATTTAATTTAAACAACCATTACTATTTTTCCATGTTTAACGCATTTTTTATTCACTCATAACTTACCACTATTGCAAGTTTTGCGAATGGAGATACTTAAATTTACGAATTCATATTTAAAAAACCTTTACCACATGAGCCGATTATTTTCGGTCAATTACACAATATATGAATTGCAGATTTGCGTTTTGAGTTTGAAAACTCGGCAGAACTTTGCCTGAATCTGCCACAACTATCCTGAACATGTCGTATAAGTAAGTCTTTGTGCAGTTTCAAATTTTAGTTTGTGAACGCTTTGCACCAAGACCTGACTTTGAAATTATATCGTGTGGCGAAAACAATGAACTGGAATAGTTATGCTTTCATAACTAGTTGAAATTTCTGTCTCACTGAATAACGTATCACACCGTCAACGTGCTTTAAATGGCTTTGAAGTTAAATTAATTGAGATTTTTGTTGTAAGGGTCATACAGAAGCCATCACAAATTAAGCGGGTTATAAATTTTTGTTCAACTTTAGTTTTTATAGGACCGGGTGTCAAAAATTTCGGTTTTTAATAAACAAAATAAGTAAATTTAATAATCTAAAAAAACTCAAAGTATATATGTACTATTCTCGGACATCAATATCAACGAGTTATCGCAAATTGTAAACCGTCTTTTAGTATAGTAATCTTATTTTTTGTTTTGCTTTGACAACCCCTTACAAAATTTGAGAACTTATTAATAGCTGATAAGACATACCAACTTCTACCAACAATTATTCTGACTTTACAGATTACAGACGGCATTTCAAACAAGATGTCTTTTTGATACTGACGGATATTTGATGTCCAAGAAGTTATGACGGGAACTGTATAAATCAAAATTCAACGAAATCAGTTGATTTTCATGTGTTATTATCGCAACACATTTAAACGAGTCTTGATTTTGTGTTAATAGAATTATTATATTTTTTCATTTTTTGTAAAATTTCTTTTGATAAAAAATTCTTGATATTAATAAGTTCCGAATGCAGTTTTTGAATCTGCATCCAATAAGGAAAAAGTGTACAAAACTTGGAAACATTTGGGCTAAACCGAAACCATTCTGTATATTTTCAATTAACAAAACAAGTAATTCTTTTTTATAAGGACAAAGTATTAACGTAACGGAAAAAATAATAACTACAGCCACATTTTTCGAAAATGTATTGGTAAACATGTTATTTGAGCGCTATTTCGAATTATACTTTACAAATACAAAATCTTTTTTTTTAATATAGGTTATAGTAATAATAACGAGCATATGACGTCATTAGTTTTTAATGAAACCATATCACAGAAATCTTTTATTCCACCGTTATATGTCATTCTTAAATTTAGATTAAGAGATTAGAGGCAGATTTATATTCGCAATTTTTTAAGTTTAAATACTAATCGTTTCTGTAATTTTTAAAATAGGAATCACACAGTGTCTGAAACACCACTAACCGACATATCAGATTAAACTAATGTTTCTATTAAAAAAAAAAAAAAAAATAGAAGTTATTTTTAAATATAACCAACTGTTTCATAAAACTATTTATTTTTAATGTCCTCAAAAGGAGAGAACGTGTTACTTTACATAAACTTAATTATGTTTTATTGAAAACAAGTTTCCAACTCTACTAGGTCATTTAATGAAACTAATTATTTTCGCTAGCTATTAAGGGCACTTTATGTTCGTGCTTTCTCATTACCACTACAATGGTTTATTGATTACGATGGAATCATTTTCTATAATTACGTTGTTATTGAAAACCCAACTGTAGTTAGCTCTAAATTGGAATAATATGACTATAATAATATCAATAATTATATGTTTAAATTATCAGGGGCATAAGACTGATGTTTTATGACACCTCTTTAAAACTTTAGTGAATTATAATTTAAAGCACAATGAAAGAAGCCGTAAATAATTTAAAAAATTGCTGAAATGCGCAATTTAGTGTGAACAAAGTACAGCTTAAACTTTAAAAGCAAACACGGGTATGTTTTTTTTTTAATAAGATGTACTCCCTCACTTGAATGGTTTTTCATTAATTCCTAACTTGGTATGTTTTAAGCATATAGCCAAAAATCGCCGATCCTTACAGCTAATGAACCTTATTAGTGCATAATGCATGTTAGATAAAGTGAAAACTATGAAACAAAAGCTCATGTTTAAATGATCATACACCCACTTCTTCTTCTGTCTGCGATCGAAGTCTCCTTTCTGTCCTAACTTTCCTGAGACACTAATCGAGTCGCTCAAGTCTCCATCCGGCATTCCGATGCTTGTCTGGCTCAGATTTAAATTGCTTTCGTTGCCGACTTCTTTTCCTTTCACCTATCATAGACAAACGCTTGAGCGTTCAACAATATCATCTTTCATCAACTCTTACCTTCTCCTTCTTACTGAAAAATCGTCCCAGAGACGACTTGATGCCTTTTTTCTTTTGAGCTGCCGCCGCCGCCACGGCTGCCGCCGAAACATCCCTAGGCACGCCCGATATCGTATTCTTGTGCAAACTCTCCTGACTGCTGTGACGAGAGGAGAGAGGTGATGGAGGTGTGTGCGTCTGGCCTTGCCTAAACACACTGCACTCTACTGTCTAAACTATGGCTAAGAAAGCATGCATCTCTAGCAGACATGCTGTATGTGTAGGCAATTATTAAGCGAAAGTGTGTGTATTCACAGTTTAAATTTTCTACATAAGTACGTTGTTTTTTCATTTTTGAACTTGATACACATGCAGAATATCGTATCCCGTCGTAGTATAGTGCATTATATAAAGCTGTGTTGTTTCTTTGGTTTCAAACTTTGGAAATCAATGTTAGACAGTCTGATTACGTAGTTTTATAGATTGTAAATTCACTATTTCGTTAGAAAATCCTTGGATAAATGTAGACGTAATTTTCCTGCAGCAATTAAAATAAAAATATTTTGTTTTTTTTTGTATATTGAATTTTTTTTTGGTTTTTTGAAAATTACTCATTAAATTTTAGATATTTGCAGTGTTTACATAAATATTTAGTTCACACAAATTTGGTACAATTTGTAACTGAAATACTACAAAGAATTTAGATAGCACGAGGAAGCGTGACTAAACCATTTGTTGTTTGTTGTACTTTTCATAAAAAGACACTTTTATGAGAAAAAAAAAAAAATACATCGGTTTTTTCATAACCCATTTCGTTATTTGTATTACTTTTGGTGAAGCGTAAATGATTTTATGTTTATAGAACAATACTCATCAATACGTTACTATGTCCTAGAATTTGAAGTCTTTAAAAAATTTAATTCATACGACGCCTTCATTATCGTCACGAAGTAAATGGTGAGGCGTTTGAACTCATTTTGTACAATAAAACATGAAATTAATCATTCTTCAAAAAAAAGTAAACACTTTAAAATAGGAAAACAATTTTTAGTTTCCGTTTAGTTAATCTATGATTTTCACAAAAAATGAATTTACAATGTACAAAGAACTTTCAAACTCAACAATAATTTGTTTTATGCACTGTACTCTCAAACTTGACGACGATTGTACTAATTAAATAGCAACTTTGGTTTATTGTAAGCCCTCAAATAAAAAAAAAAAAATACCTGCCGAAAGTTCGACTAATCATGAAGAACACTTTTAGGTTAAATTTGAGAAAATAAATTTTAACGACTATAGATTTCACACTTCTGGCATGTGTATGTGTTCCATAATTAATTGAATGGACAGCATTATTTTATTTCAAAACTATACCTCTCAATTTTGAATACGAATTTAAAACTTAAAAAAAAGGCCAGTGCAAAATAAAAAAGCAAATTCAGTGAACTAGCCACATTAATAACCTGTATGTAACTCCCGGGGGTAACCCACTTGCGCCAGTTCTTCTATATCACAAAATTTAAAACGTTTTAACCATGTTTTGTACCACTCACTGCGATTTCAATTTATTAAAAATCAACAAACCTCCTGAGTTCCTCTTGACTATGAGCCAAAGCTTGTGCCACTCTTTCTAATCGAAGAGATCTCGCAGTTAACGGCGACGCTCCTCCCCCACTACTGCTGTCACCCATATGCATCTCCTCCCTGGACATTTCGGACGACAATGGTGCCAATTGAAGCTGTGTAATTAAAACAATAGCAATTATCGACCTAATCACTACCGACACGTGTCAGTTCAACAATACGCATGCTGCTAGTGAGTAGAGATTAATGTGCGTGTGATGTCTGTTAAAGCCAACAAAATTAAGTTCCATACAATGGTAAATCGGTAGTGAAAGGCGTTTACCATTATAGAGTACCGACGGACATGTTAAATAACAAACCTGACTGGAAGGCAACGATTCAGAGAGGGCGCCAGGGCTCAAGGTCGAATGATATTGTTGCAAATGCGCCGGTGACATAGATGCAGGTGCCTACAACATCACATGTTCACACACCTAAATTGTATCCTGTTTTCCGTTCGAAAGTTGGCTTTATGACAAGGTGAAAGTGCGATGAGAATGTAGAACATGCATCAGAAGAGAAGGAACCACCACCGCAGCGCCACTCGTAGTGAGAGAGAGAATTTCTTTTCCTATACGTCTCATGTTGGTTGAAGTTGCGACGTTGTAGTAAACGTGGGTGAGGTTTCTGATGACATTCGCGGAAACGAAATCAGACTAGTGTATACGATAAATTTATGCAGACGTTGACTATGTTTGTGTTCTTTATATTAAAACATTTAAATCTCTGAAGAGTTTTCGAATTTTTGTCACTTTCATCTTGGTGATCACATTTAAGAGCTAACTATATTGATGAATGTCCCAGTAGTGTTTCACTGTAATATCACAATTACTTGAAAAGATAAAAATCGCAAACTTGGAATGATTAAATAAAGAACTCTATCAAGTGAATGTGCGAGTAGCACTATATGACTTTTGGGTTTTTCAGAAATGACATCAACCTTTTGCTTTTCTTACCTTTGGTAATTCAAGAAATTACTTTTTTACTTTTTTATTTTACTTCCCGAGCGTAAGCAAAGGAAGTATTGTAATCGAGTCCGTCGGCCGACTCTCTACTTTTAGGTTTTCTCGATCTTTCATGACCCCTAGAAGACGAAGAAATAGGTCTCCCATTTCCGTCTGTCTGTCCGTCTGTCCGTCTGTCCGTCCGTCTGTCCGTCTGTCCGTCTGTTGTCCCGGATTTTTATTAGACAGATAATCTCCGAAAGTACTCGACCGATTGTTGTGAAATTTTGTACTTATATTAAGAATATCATGTAGATGGTAAAACGCTAACCAAAATTTGTCTAATCATCCCCACCACTAATGCGATGACGTCACTTCAAAATTGTACATAGTAAATGGGTTTTCAATTGCATAAAATAACATAGTCCTACACATGTAGTTTACAACTCCGAATCGACTTTTCACCCGAAACGTCCAGATTTTTGGAAAAAAAATCAAAATTATAAAACAACATTTTGAAATTTAATTTTTAATCTGCTAACCAGAATGCTTTGAAATGTTGCAGATGTTTTAAGGCTATAAAGAGCATCATAAATCTTTAGTCAAAAAATATTTGCTTATCCCCTCCAAAAAATTGATGACGTCAGCTCAAAAATTTGTGGAATAAATCATATCTAAAATGTACAAAATATGATGAGTCTGTACTTGTGATCTATCACTCCATTCATATTTTTTGGATTTGCATATACAGGGTGACTCAAAAAAATTAATGAATGCGTAAATTTATTTTACTGATTTACTCAGAAACTACAAAACCGAATGCTTTGAAATCTTGCAGATGTTTTAAGGTTATAAAGAGCATAATAAATGTTTAGTCAAAATATATTTGCTTATCCCCTCCAAAAAATTGATGACGTCAGCTCGAAAGTTTGCCGAATAAATCCTATCTAAACTGTAAAAATATGATGAATCTGTACTTGTAATTTATCACTCCATTCATATTTTTTGGATTTGCATATACAGGGTGACTCAAAAAAATTAATGAATGCGTAAATATATTTTATTGATTTAATCAGGAACTACAAAACCGAATGCTCTGAAATCTTGCAGATGTTTTAAGGTCATAAAGAGCATAATAAATGTTTAGTCAAAATATATTTGCTTATCCCCTCCAAAAACTTGATGACGTCAGCTCGAAAGTTTGCCGAATAAATCATATCTAAAATGTACAAAATATGATCAGTCTGTACTTGTGATCTATCACTCCATTCATATTTTTTGGATTTGCATATACAGGGTGATTAAAAAAAAATAATGACAGCGTAAATTTATTTTACTGATTTACTCAGGAACTACAAAACCGAATGCTTTGAAATCTTGCAGATGTTTTAAGGTTATAAAGAGCATAATAAATGTTTAGTCAAAATACATTTGCTTATCCCCTCCAAAAAATTGATGACGTCAGCTCGAAAGTTTGCCGAATAAATCCTATCTAAACTGTACAAAATATGATGAGTCTGTACTTGTGATTTATCACTCCATTGATTTTTTTTTTGGATTTGCATATACAGGGTGACTCAAAAAAATTAATGAATGCGTAAATTTATTTTTTTGATTTACTCAGGAACTACAAAACCGAATTCTTTGAAATCCACTGCGAAAAAAAAACGTAATAGGCATGCAGTCGTCACGTTTCCGACAGCGAGGGAAGTACTGTCTAAACTCTTTAGACCAATTTTTTTAAGTAGTATAACACTTGATTTGAAATTGTTTGAAAAAAGCTATAAAAATGTTCAAACTACGGCATCCTGGTAAATTTGTTCCACTGCAGCATTTCAATTATTTTAAGAATAAAATTTTGAAACATAAAAAACTATCAAATGGATTGGAAATGCAATGGATTTTTTTTTGTTTGAAACAGTATATTGTTTCTTTCATCGGTGCTTTAAATTTTTTTAAAACATTAGCGAAAAGTGTGGTGGAAAGTTCACGGTTCTTGTGAATATTTTATATTAATTCATAATTTAGTGTAAAATGATGGAAAATTAGAAAAATTGGTCTAAAGAGTTTAGACAGTACTTCCCTCGCTGTCGGAAACGTGACGACTGCATGCCTATTATGTTTTTTTTTCGCAGTGGATTTCAAAGAATTCGGTTTTGTAGTTCCTGAGTAAATCAATAAAATAAATTTACGCATTCATTAATTTTTTTGAATCATCCTGTATATGCAAATCCAAAAAAAAATCAATGGAGTGATAAATCACAAGTACAGACTCATCATATTTTGTACAGTTTAGATAGGATTTATTCGGCAAACTTTCGAACTGACGTCATCAATTTTTTGGAGGGGATAAGCAAATGTATTTTGACTAAACATTTATTATGCTCTTTATGACCTTAAAACATCTGCAAGATTTCAGAGCATTCGGTTTTGTAGTTCCTGATTAAATCAATAAAATATATTTACGCATTCATTAATTTTTTTGAGTCACCCTGTATATGCAAATCCAAAAAATATTAATGGAGTGATAGTTCACAAGTACAGACTCATCATATGTTGTACATTTTAGATATGATTTATTCCACAAACTTTTGAGCTGACGTCATCAAGTTTTTGGAGGGGATAAGCAAATATTTTTTGACTAAAGATTTATGATGCTCTTTATAGCCTTAAAACATCTGCAACATTTCAAAGCATTCTGGTTAGCAGATTAAAAATTAAATTTCAAAATGTTGTTTTATAATTTTGATTTTTTTTCCAAAAATCTGGACGTTTCGGGTGAAAAGTCGATTCAGAGTTGTAAACTACATGTGTAGGACTATGTTATTTTATACAATTGAAAACCCATTTACTATGTACAATTTTGAAGTGACGTCATCGCTTTAGTGGTGGGGATGATTCGACAAATTTTGGTTAGCGTTTTACCATCTACATGATATTCTTAATATAAGTACAAAATTTCACAACAATCGGTCGAGTACTTTCGGAGATTATCTGTCTAATAAAAATCCGTGACAACAGACGGACAGACGGACAGACGGACAGACGGACGGACAGACGGACAGACGGACAGACAGACGGAAATGGGAGACCTATTTCTTCGTCTTCTAGGGGTCATGAAAGATCGAGAAAACGTAAAAGTAGAGAGTCGGCCGACGGACTCGATTACAATACTTCCTTTGCTTACGCTCGGGAAGTAAAAATTGTTATCAAAGAAACTGAATATGATTTCCATATATCAAGCATGTCAAAAAAAAAAAAACAGAACAGCGAAATCTTAAAAAAAAACTGAATAGAATGTTTAAAGAAACAGATTTTTAAAATAATTTTTTCTTTGCTGAATATATAACAACGTGTCACAGAGTTAGTGCGCTATTTTTTTATCACGTTGTTATACATCGGTATGTTTAAAGACCTGTCATCAAATCGTGTAAAGAATGCTTGCCTCAACAATATTTCAATAAAAACTGTTGTCTGTAAAAATATAAACTGGTGGAATTTTTAAGTTAAGGAAACTATGTTTTTACTTACATTTTTAAATCCTTCCCTTTGATATTTTTGCATGAAAAAACTGCAGCAAATCATTGACTCACTAAATATCCGCACACCACAAAGACCCACCCAATTGATAGGACTGCTTTAAGCATTGTAAAACCTAGGTGACATAACTGTAATATTAAATTTAAATAACTGGAATTAACTGTAATTAGTGGCAACTCTATTCATTACCAGTCGCAATTAGCAACAAACATTGTTGTATAATGGCCATGGGTACATTAAAACGGAATGAATTAGTCTAGACAACAATAAATCACAAACTATTGTGATAAAGCAAATTGAAAAATTGTTGCAGCTTGAAACAAGTCTTCATAAAACGACTTTCGAAATTACCAGACAAGATAAAATCGCTAAGCACAAATTTCTTTTTTCCGTAATGTTTAATTTTATGGATGAGTAAATAAATAACGGAAAAATTGTCGCTGAAAGAAAATTTGAACTGATGTTATTTTATTTGAAGACTGAACATGGAACGAATTGTAATTCTATTAATTTTCTAAGATAATTTACAAGAGAAATTTAGTACTCTCAAAAATCACACAATTATTACCAGAAAGTTTGTCAAATCAATCAAAGTCAACCTTCCAAAAAAAAAAAAAAATAACCAGTTGATAGTATTAAGGAAAATCATGGTCCGTACTAGTGATATAATTGATTTGAGAAAATATGAAACACTGCAGTCTGATTTCCAAAAAACAACATGGAACAGTACACATACACGGTGACATGTAATAATATTGGCGGTAACTACAAACGGTACTTCGTTTAGCACAGACAACATACAAGAAAACCAAGAGGACGGAATCAAAATTTGTCCCATCTACCCCATTCGGGTTCCTGGAAAGACTGGGAGGATCAAATTAGTTAAACTATTATATATTATAGTGTAAACACCGGATTTTTTTTCC